TAATTAAACCACTTTAAAAACCAAGGCCATTCACGATAAAATAAAAGAATAAAATGAAATAAAATATTCTAGTAAAAATAAGAATTTGAAACTGATAAAATACAAAATAAAAAGGGTTCTAGAAAAAAACTCAAAGTTATGGGTTCCGTATTTTACTGTAGGAGTGACAGCGTACATGAACATAACCAATATAAAACTATTACCTTAAGATGTATAGCGTCTCTGATGTTTCCGATGTCGTGTTCCACCGCCTCACAATACAAAAAGATAATGATATAAAATAATAACACTATGAATAGCTTAAAATCGAAAAAAATAATAAAAAGTTCCTCTCTCTGACTTCGCTGAAGTCTCGGGCCTGAGTGGCGGTTTCTTCGCTATTGTTTTTCGCCTGCGCGTTTTCACCTGCGCAGTGACATCGACGCACATTGCCAATAACGTTCACAGCGCCTTTTTCCCTTGCGCAAAATAGTGTGCAGTCTTTTATTTTCAATAGTGAATGTTTAATATTAAGTTTTTCACAGTAATTGTAGCGCTATATCGATTTTCTTGGACATCGGCCTGCGCAGCCGCACAGAGGGCACCCTCATCGGCTACGGCCAGCGGATACGAGGGGAAACTGACACAGTTCACTCGCTACAATATGATAGAAAGGGATGAATAAAATTAATAGTAAAATATGGGTAGTTTTTTTCAGAACTGAATTAATGGACAAACTAGCTAATGAATAGTAGAATGTCCATACATGTGCCCCAAGGAAAATCTATAATTCATATATGTAAATCCTGAAAATGGATATTTATTGTAATTTCATCATTTTTTGAAAGCATACTGTAAAAAGAGTTTGAGCAGATTTCTTAAGCAAAGTGATGAAAGTAGACTTTGCAAATTCTGTTCTTGTCATTTTAGTTCTTTGTTACGGCTACAATTTCCATTGTCGTTGTTAGCATTGTCATTATTTTGATGTTGCTACAGCTGTGTGTATTATAGTAAGTTTTAATTGTAAATGTGATAACGATAAAAAGGATGGCGCTTAGCTGCATTCCCTCCAGATTCTAAAGGATTAGCCTTTGCCTTGAGAGAGAAGGGCAAGGAACATATAACCAGGTAGCTCCACTTCCATTTAGCCTACAGAACTTTTTGACTAGATTATTCCAGCCACTGTTAAAGGTAAGAAACTTTGTTGCTGTGAATAAAAGAGGTGAATTTTGGTTCTACATCTGGTAATTATAACAATAAAGAGTAAATTATGTAAATAATGATGTATCATCCTATATGTGATATCTCATTAGTTAACTGTGATGTCATCACCTTTGACCCAGCTCAAAAGTTTAGGATCTTCGTGAAGATGGAGTTGGTGTTATCCTGGCAACTACCAGGAGGTGAGACAGAATGGCATATATATATATATGTGTATATATATTACACATACACACACATATATAATGTATATATATATATATATATATATATATATTGCATCTATCTATGTATATATATACTTACATATATGTATATTTACATATGTATATGGGTATATACATACATATATATAACTATATATATATATTGTGGAATGTACTATTCACCTAGAGGGGGCGTGGCACTCCAGTTGTCACTCCACATACGCACCTGTAATACCTGTATCACCTGCGCGTGATTCCCATAGTTCACCCACCATCCCGTTTTTTCGCTTTTATTTCTATTAATTGTATTTGGTAGTTTTATTGTTTCTAGTTGTAGTTCATGTGTCTGATTTGTATTTTATTTCGTTTTGTATTATTATAAGGCCGTGTTTTACGGCTACCTATTTCTCAGTTCGTGACGTGACACTGCACATTTGAATATTCACTGTTTTATATATATATTTTTATTAATGATTTTATCTTGTAGTAATGATCTCTTTTATCATTTATCATTTCCACGACATTATGTATTTTATTTTATTTTATTTAGCTTTTATTAAGAAAAATGATTCATTATGTTCTGACGTCACGAGTTCCTGAGTTCCCGGGAATTGTTCGTGCTCGTGCTATTGCTCGTGCTACCACTACTACTGCTATTGCTCGTGATATCACTACTACTGCTATTGCTCGTGATACCACTACTACTGCTGCTCCTCGTGATACCACTACTGTTATCACTACTGCTATGGCTACTGCTATTGCTACTATCACTACAGTGAAAGGACACTAGAAAAAGATAAAAGCAGCAATGTTGGACCTTTCAAAGGAGTATTACTGTCGCATTGCAAGAGGAGTGAACGGGATCCCTAACTTCAATTTTCACCTGGTCCCTAAGCCTCTCCTGCCTCACGGGAGATTTTAATTCGGGCTCCTCTGTACGGATGGTACCTGGCCTTGAGCTGGGAGTATACCTTACAATAACTATATATATATATATTTGTGTGTATGTATACATAACTAGGTTCCTAGGTGTGTGTGTTTATATAAATATATAGATAGACAGATAGATCGATAGAGATATAGATATATATACATAACTATATATATATATGTGTATATATGTACATATATATAGGTATATATATATACATATATATAGGTATATATATACATATATATAGGTATATATATACATACTGTGTATATATAAAGTATATATATGTAGAAATATATATACATTATATATACATATATTATTTATACTGCATATATATATGTATATATATGCATCCTGAAACATACACACATATATCACACACACACACACATATATATATATATATATATATGTGTGTGTGTATGTGTATGTTTATATATATATATATATATATATATATATATATATATATATATATATATATATATATATATATATATATATATATATATATATAAATTATACATCTAAATTCCACTTATTTCATATATTTCAACTGCGATACTCAGTTGAGAGTTACCGAAATACATTTTGATTCATACCTATTGTCGCTGTATAATCGCATGATCTTTGTTTCTCAGACCAATGGTTCTTAACCAGGAGTAATTTGTATGTATGTCTGATCGCCATACCTTTATACGTAATTAGCTTCAGGTTAGACTCAAAACGCAACCGGCAACATGAACATTAATATCTAATATAACGTTTTCAGCCTAACTAAATTCGTGAGGCAAAGCGCTTTTCCTCATGTCGCAAATGAGCATTTTCTTTATATATATATATATATATATATATATATATATATATATATATATATATATATGTGTGTGTGTGTGTGTGTGTGTGTGTGTGATATATGTGTGTATGTTTCAGGGTGCATATATACACATATATATATAGTATAAATAATATATATAATGTATATATATTTCTACATGTATAGACAGTATGTATATATATACCTATATATATGTATATATGTATATATATACATATATATATAGTTATGTATATATATATCTATATCTCTATCGATCTATCTGTCTATCTATATATTTATATAAACACACACACCTAGGAACCTAGTTATGTATACACACACACACAAATATATATATATATATAGTTATTGTAAGGTATACTCCCAGCTCAAGGCCAGGTACCATCCGTACAGAGGAGCCCGAATTAAAATCTCCCGTGAGGCAGGAGAGGCTTAGGGACCAGGTGAAAATTGAAGTTAGGGATCCCGTTCACTCCTCTTGCAATGCGACAGTAATACTCCTTTGAAAGGTCCAACATTGCTGCTTTTATCGTTTTCTAGTGTCCTTTCACTATAGTGATAGTAGCAACAGTAGTAGCCATAGCAGTAGTGATAACAGTAGTGGTAGCACGAGCAATAGTAGTAGTATTGGTATCACGAGGAACAGCAGTAGTAGTGGTAGCACGAGCAATAGCAGTAGTAGTGGTATCACGAGCAATAGCAGTAGTAGTGGTATCACTAGCAATAGCAGTAGTAGTGGTATCACGAGCAATAGCAGTAGAAGTGGTATCACGAGCAATAGCAGTAGTAGTGGTATCACTAGCAATAGCAGTAGTAGTGGTATCACGAGCAATAGCAGTAGAAGTGGTATCACGAGCAATAGCAGTAGTAGTGATATCACGAGCAATAGCAGTAGTAGTGGTATCACGAGCAATAGCAGTAGTAGTGGTATCACGAGCAATAGCAGTAGAGGTGGTATCACGAGCAATAGCAGTAGTAGTGGTATCACGAGCAATAGCAGTAGTAGTGATATCACGAGCAATAGCAGTAGTAGTGGTATCACGAGCAATAGCAGTAGAAGTGGTATCACGAGCAATAGCAGTAGTAGTGGTAGCACGAGCAATAGCAGTAGAGGTGGTATCACGAGCAATAGCAGTAGTAGTAATATCACGAGCAATAGCAGTAGTAGTGGTAGCACGAGCAATAGCAGTAGTAGTGGTAGCACGAGCGGTAGGCACTGTAAAGGTATTAAAAGTAAGGTGAAGGTAGAGTAAAAGAATCAGTAAAAGAGTAAGGGTAGAGTAAAGGTCAGTAAAAGTATGGTAAAAGCAGAGTAAAAAAATGATCAGTAAAAGTGTAGTAAAAGTACGGGTAAGAAGAGTAAATGTTCAGTAAAAATAACCGTAAATAAAAGGCAAAAACTTGATACATATATACACTGTTAAGAAAAACTAAGAAAGATAAAAATAAAAAGTAAAAAGAACAAGTATTTAAAATGAGCATCACTGAATTTAGGCTTTATGTTATTTGAGCTTCATCTATGTAGAATATTTTATGAATTGCCTTCCATTATGCTTAACACTTAAAGCAAAAAACCTAGGCAAGAGAACGAGAGCCAGTACAACTTTGGTGTAGATTCGCAGAGAGAGAGAGAATGTGGCACAAATAAACACTGTTAAGTGTTTATTTGTTGCGTTCCCGGGAACTCAGGAACTCGTGACGTCAGAACATAATGAATCATTTTTCTTAATGAAAATAAAATAAATAAAATACATAATGTCATGGAAATGATACATACAGCATAAGAATACCAAAGTCATTAAATAAAAGCCATACAAACGTGAACTAAAAGAGTTTATGAATAAACTAAAACACACTAAAATCATAAGACAGCAAAATTAAAATCCGTTAATTTAAAAAACATTCATTAATAAAATATAATGATAAAAGAGATCATTACTACAAGATAAAATTATTGACAAAAAAAAAAAAAAAAAAAAAAAAAAAAAAATATATATATATATATATAAAACAGTGAATATTGAAATGTGCAGTGTCACGTCACAAACTGAGAAATAGGTAGCCGTAAAACACGACCTTATAATAATACAAAACGAAATAAAATACAAATCAGACACATGAACTACAACTAGAAACAATAAAACAACCAAATACAATTAATAGAAATAAAAGCGAAAAAACGGGATGGTGGGTGAACTATGGGAATCACGCGCAGGTGATACAGGTATGTACAGGTGCGGATGTGGAGTGACAACTGGAGTGCCACGCCCCCTCTAGGTGAATGGTACATTCCACAATATATATAGTTATATATATGTATGTATATACGCATATACATATGTGAATATACATATATATAAGTATATATATACATAGATGCAAAATATATATATATACATCATATATATGTGTGTATATGTACTATATATACATATATATATGCCATTCTGCCTCACCTCAAAAGTGAGATATCCTGGTAGTTGCCAGGATAAAACCAACTCCAAGTTACCATTTTAACATGCTATACAAACTATAAGACAAAAACAATCTTTCGAGTGTAGATTCTTAGACTCAATAGGGTCTGCCACGGGATAAGGGTCTGCCACGGGATAAGGGTCTGCCACGGGATAAGGGTCGGCCATAGGGTTGGGCATGGCACGAGCCGAACCAAGGCAATACAGGGCCATAACCACGCCAAAGAGGACAGTCTGAAAAAATAATAACCATGATAATTATGCTGGTAAACGATATGTTGATAGGGTGATTCTTATCCCAAAACACCTCATAAGTACAAGTGTTACTGAAACTTGGCAATCTGGTAGAAACGTTAATATATTTAGCAATATTAGACATCACGAAAAGTGTAATAACTACAACGTATGTTATTTACCAGAATTTACACACACACAAATGATAATAAGCGTGCGTGCACACACTCAAACATATTCCTGACCTATATATCCCTATTATATATATTAACCTATCTAAATATATCAATCATATATATCACATACAGTATATTCCTATCATGCATATCACATACATACATACATACACATGTATACATACACATGTATCTGTATCTACATACCTACATTTCTACATATATATATTTTCCACCTAGCTATACAAATGCACACCTATTTAGGCGTAGGAAAAAACACAACCAAACACACATTTCTGATGATTCTAAAACCTCAGAATCATGAATAATAATGTAATTTAAAACAAATATTTGGAAGAAGACCTATGTTAAGCGTTTCAAAGGATTCAGAAATTTGATATTGGAGGAAGGGTATTTTCATGCGCCCAGTACGCCCAAGAGATTTCTATGTGATAAGTTTGTCTATGTGAGAGGAATGGCGTATGGTGAAGTTGAGTACATTATTCCATGGTAAATCACAATATCTGATAGAAAAGTGTTTAGGAGATCAGCGATGAGCTTTTATGCTTTCCGAAAGTGCCAAACTTCAGCTAAGTACCAATTGGCCATTTGTGGGTCACGTTCCAGTGAAATATCAGTTCAATTGTATAAGTAAACATATATATGGCCAGACTATTAACTGTGAAACTCACCAGCTTCATGGTGGCGTAGGCAGAATGTTGTCGCGCGCAGGTGAGGTGCGATCTGAAGCAAACTGGCTCTGGACCTTCTTATATTCGCTGCAAGACTCCCCCTACCCGGGGTGAGGGAGGGCTCTCCCTCGGGCTAATATCCTCACCACCAAGCATAGTAATAGCGGAGCGTTATACATGCTGTTAGTGGTATTTTGCCAAAGGTAAATATGTGAATTTTCCTCGTGGAAAACGAGGGTGTCGGATTTTACATCGAATATGGGGAATATGTAAGTGCGAAAGTTTAGAATTTATGGAAAGTGTGAATTATTAGACAATTTATCTGGGATATCTATTGCCAGCTTGTGAACTAGATATCCCTCTCTTGTCAATTGTTCAGACGATGCTCTTTGGTTTAGCTACGATCCTGTCTGGCCTTCTGGATATAGATCGTACTGTCCTACCCTTACCCGGTGGCCGACCTTTTACCCCGTGGCATACCCTGACGCAGAGGTATAGCTTTACCTCGTTGCAGATCCTTACCCTAAGCCCGGGGCATACCCTTACCCCGAAGCTAAGCCTGAGGCTGACCACTTGTCCTTATTCTACAGACTTAACATTTCGAGAGGCCAGACCCAATGAATACTCATAGGTATGGATGTTTTTAATATGTTTATGTACATATGTATATATATAGTTAGATACAAATATAGATAGATATAGATAGACATATATCTATATATAGACAGACAGATTGGTAGGTAGACAGATATATAATTGTCTATCTGTAGCTAGTAATACCGTACAGAAGAGAAGACTGAAAAAATGAATATCATTGAGTGATAAAAAGAAACCAGAGAAAATAGCAAGAAAAAAGGAGAGAAAGAATAAAAGAAGAAAAACAAACAAGAAAAAATAAGAGAAAAACAACAACGAAATAAAAAATAAAGTAGGTAAAGAGAAACAACCTTAAAAACAAGTTAAAGGAAGAACAAAAAAAAAAAAAGCTTAAAGAAAATCGAAAAAGAAAGAAGAGAAAAAAAGAAGGGGAAAAAATGAGAAGCCATAAGAAAGCGAAAAGAAGAAAAGCAAATGAAACTAGAATAAAATAAGATAAAGAGAAGATAAAAATAAAGAAAAAAAAACGAAGCTAAAAGAAAAGAAAAGAAAGGAAAGAAAAAATAAAGCAAAGAAAACGAATACAGATAAAAAAAGAAAAGAAAATGAAACTAATAATAATAATAATAATAAGTGAAACAGAGAAGGAACACGAGGAGAGCAACCTCTCCACTCTAGGATAAGTATGACGTACACACACACACACATATATATAGATGTATACATATATATGTATATATATATACACATACATATGTACAAATGAAAATATACATATATGTATATATATACATATACACACGAATATAAATGTGTGTATATGACACACTCACACACACATACACACACAAACACACGCGCGCATGCACATACACAAAACACACATAAACACACAGGCACATACATATATATATATACATATATACATGTATATATGTATACACATATGTATATACATATATATGTATATATACGTATATACATACACTCATATATATGTATGTATATAGATACACATGCACATATACATGTGTAAATACATAAACATATACGTACATACACACACACACTCACTCACATATATATATTCATATACATATATATATGTGTATATAAATAGATATATGTATGTATATATATGAATATATATACATATATATACATATATGCGTATATATATATGTGTGTGTGTGTAAACAGATACACATACGCACACACACACACACATATATACAAGTATATATATATATACATATATTGTATACATATATATATACATATATATATTTGTGTGTGTACATACACACACACACACATATATATATATATATATACATACATATATATATATTTGTGTGTGTGTAGATATATACACATATACATATATATGTACATACATATAAAAAAATATGTGTCTGTGTATGTGTGTACATACATAAACACACACACACACGCACAAACGCATATACATATATATATATATATAACTTTTTTTTTTTTTTTTTCTTCTTTTTTTTCTTTTTACTGATGTGTTGGTTAAGCTTTATGCGATTCCTTATGACAATTAGCGAAGGTTGATAGAGTAACTTAAAAGTACAGAAGAAAATGCTCATTTGCGACATGAGGATAAGCGCTTTGCCTCACGAATTTCTAGTGCTCCGCTGGTTAGGTTGTACTAGATATTAATGTTCATGTTGCCGGTTGCGTTTTGAATCTAACCTGAAGCTGATTACGTATAAAGGTATCTTTCATATATATATATACCTCAGGATATCTGACATACATATCTGTTACATATGATGCATACATATGATTTAAAAAGAATTGGACATTGGTGGCAGTGGTTATATATATATAATATATATATTATATATATTATATATAATATATATATCATATACATATTATACATATTATATATATAATATATATATAATATATATATAATATATATATATAATATATATATAACCACTGCCACCAATGTCCAATGTAACAGATATGTATCCTGAGGTGTATATATATATGAAAGATGGAATATGCAATGCCGCATTGACATATATAACAATTCTCCCTGACCTGGCCTCGAACTTAGGTCACTCCGGGGATGAGACCGGAGGGCCAGTACTAAACCAACCATGAAACGCGACCCACTAAAAGGAGTGTGCAACTAGGATCTAACTAGCTCTATAGACATTACCTATCTACTCATACATGAGTAGATAGTAGCGAGGTTTTTACACACACTCTCTGTAGGCACTCGGTGGAAATTGATTTAGAAATTCGAAACCAATATATGTATGAAAGATGGAATAATGCAATGCCGCATTGATAGAGATATATAACAATCCTCCCTTCATATATATACATATATATGTATATATATTTATATATACACATATATATGTTATCTATCTATATATATATATTATATATGTATATATATATATGAATATATATTATATATGTATATATATTATATATATATATTTATATATATTATATATATATATTTATATATATATAATATATATAGGTACATATATTATGTTATGTATATATTATATATATGTCATATATATATGTAAATATATATATATATATATATATATGTACTCTATATATATATATATATATATATATATATATATTCAAATATATAGGTACATATATTATGTTATGTATATATCATATATATATATTATATATATGTATATATATGTATATATACATACTTATACGTATATCTATATATATTCATTTAATACACACACACACACATATATATATATATATATGCATATATATATGTATATATATATTTAAATATATAGGTATATATATTGAATTATACACACACATACATATACAAAAATATATCTATGTATAAATATATATACATTTATATCTATCTATCTGTCTATATATATATCTTTATATATGTAAGGATATATAAATATGTATATATATGTATATATATATATATATTCATATATATGGGTATATGTATATATATGTATGTATATATAGACACACATGTATGTATATATACATATATACACATATATACATATATATGCATATATACATACATACATATATATACATAAATATGCATATATATGTATATATATCTACACATATATACATATGTATTCATATATACACACATATATGCATATATAGACATGTATATGCAGATAGATGTATATACATATATATGTATAAATATATATACATTATATATATATAATGCAAGATATGTATATGACCGGATTCGATTATATCTTCGTCAGAAATACATGTATTCCTGACGAAGATATAATTGAAACTAGTCAAAGATATTCATTCTCATTTATACCGTTAATACATTTGTCAACATGAATATGGTTCACATGTAAGTGTATTTATATATACAGATTGTATATTTATGTATAAAAATATATATCATCATCATAAGAGGGCATACGCATGGCTGCGCTTTACCGCGCCCAAACTTTGCTTCCACCTCCTGGGGTCCCTCCGAGCAAGCCTCCATGCAACATTCCTTCCCACCCCCAACACATCTTGGCAGATCTGATCGACTTGCTTCAGCCAAGAGTTCCGTGGCCTTCTCCAGGCTGGGTTAACCCTCCGGAGATGACGCTATAAGCCGGATCTTCCTCAGGAAAACAAGCCACATACCCATAGAGCTGAAGTTGGCGCTCGCGTATCAGACTGCTAATAGGTCTTGAACCAGTCTAATGGAATATCCTCTGATTTGACACATGGTCCCTCCAGGTATACCCCATGATTCTGCGAAGACACTTAATACCAAAGGAGTCAAGACGAGCCTTCAGAGCAGTGTTCAGTGTCCAGGTCTCACACCCATAGAGTAAGACCGGGATAACCAATGCTCTGAAGAGCCTGATCTTAGTTCTAGTCAAATACCGACACCGCCAAATACTCCTATTGAGTGAGTCATAACGCCGTAGGCTAGTCGTCGAGTGATTTCCCGGTCGAAACCTCCGTCGCTCTGCAGATAAGTGAAGATATCCAAGACCACAATGTTCTCGCCACAGGCATACACAGACTGACCACCGACATCCAGTCCCCAAATTCCTGAACCTTGGTCTTGGTCTAGGCCGCCGCACCTCAGAGAGAGCAGCGATGGCAATATATATATATATATATATAAACAAACAAACAAACAAACACACCCCCACACACATATATATGTGTGTGGTGGTGTTTGTATATATACGTATATATATATACACGTATATACATATATGTAGGTATAAATATACATACTGTTTATATATAAAGTATATATATGTATAAATATATATACATTATATATATATTATGTATACTGTATACACGATATATATGTATATATATGCTCCCTGAAACACACACACACATAAATATATGTGTGTGTGTGATATATGTGTGTGGAAGGACACTAGAAAACGATAAAAGCAACAGT